TTGTACAGCAAGCACCACACAGCTATTTTAGATATGATCACATCAAACTTTAATGATCCTCAGGATAAAACTGGGTCATTACAGCTAAAGAGATTTGGATGTGGACACAGTAATAATGCAGCAAATGAAGTGTGTTGACAATAATACAACCTATAACTGCTGTGTTTTGGATATGGATAGTACCCTATAGCCTGCCTAAGTGATGGCTCTGAGGTTAATCGAAATACATTAAAACCAATTTCCACATGCCCTCTGCACTCTTCAATACCCATTTATTTACAGCAACATTCAAAGATGCTAGAATTACCCATAAATACAAGGTAAGACAGTAAATATTAGTGCTCCTGTAGTTAAGATAAAAATAAAACATTTACTCTCCTAATAGTGATTCTAAATAGTATGACTGCATGATAATAGCAGTACATAGCTTCTTTGTGCAGCACCACTGTCATCATAATGCACTGACACTGATATATAAATACAGGAAACAGCATTCAAACAGTTTATAAAAAGCATATTGGCAATATGACAATAGTTGTATATCAGGGTAAAACAGATTAAGACAGAGCAGTGCAGTGCAGATGGCTCCTGCTCGGGATATCATACCTAAACTACCTCTGGGACACAAGCATGGATGATGTTTACTGTGCTTTATAGGGATAGTGTTAATAACTATATGACCTGTGGTTGAACTATGTCATGTAGATTTCCTTGATTGGTTAAATAATATACTTAATACTAATACTACATTTGCTGCAGTCTGGGTTAGGGGTGTGCCAAATCATCTCATTCACAATAATACTGGTATCATTTTTAATATCATATCAAAAATTAACACTGTGATACTTGTGATATTTCAACTTGTTGACATTGATGTCATACTGTTACCCACGGCCACAACAAGCATGGTTGAAAGCGAAATTATAACCAACTCTAGGGTGGTTCTGAATATCAGCAGCTTCAATTAAACATTCTTTGTGTCAGCCTTTAAAAGCTCATGTTTATGTTACCTGGCAGGGAAGCGAGGGCTCTCTCAGCCGTCTGCCGCAGCGTTTCTCCTTCCTGCCACTGAGTCTGAGGCAGCAACCACATCTTCTCACTCCCAACCTGCTGCTGGGCCAGAAGAAGCAGCGTGTCGGACAGGCAGCGCTCCAGTGAGGTCAGGTCCTTATCTACATCAGCTAAACAAGAGACAGGAGCGTCAGCTACCTCACGACAGCTACGTCTCTCTGCGACTGTAGGGCAAAATTCACACAAACTTTGGAAATGTCACGGGAAATAAAATGCAAATTGGGAGTGCTGGAGCGAATAGATTTCCTGAATGTCAAAAAACCATTAGAACCCTGCACTGAGATTAATACAAGTCTCTTTCCTCCCTGGTAATTTACTTTAAACCCCAATGTGTGCGATGCCTTCAGATGATCTAAATTTCCTTTCCATTCTGTTTCACTTGATTAATGACTGGAGCAACACAAAAGCTGCATGGAGTCTATCATCTATTTCATCAGGCACACTTGTAATATTTCAGTACATTTTCAAATTGTGCATATTACCCCACTGATCAAACATTTTGTCCATTTCCCATACTGACCTTTGACCCTCGGCTCTGGCTGGAACTTCCTCAGCTTCTGCTCCCAGGAGTCTTCCAGGTCCTGAGCCAATATGATCTCCTGGTCCCTGACGTCCTCCTCATCTGAGTCATAGTCGTCCGCCTGCTTACGACTCAACCTGTCAGCGTCCTCCAGCAGCCGCAGCTCGTGGTCCGACAGCACGCTCTTCTCCAGCTCCATCTGAAATTAAGTCAGAGCAGGTTTCCATTTCAACCTCCAGGACCCTTTTCAGACTGCTGTTTACTGACCCCATTTGGAAATAGTTGCTGGGTGTCATCTGATTGCAGTGGAACAATGTGACAGTCATCTTCCTCTTAACCCTCTGCAGATAAACATTATTCTACAGCTGTAGGTGTCACAACACGTGAAAGATCAGTGTCTGCTGTTGCATGTAATGTGAAGAAGCAAAAAGCAATTTGGACAGAATTTATATCACGATAATCCTAAATTACTTGTACATATTACTTGCACAGTGATGAAAACAGACTGTTAGTGTGGTGACATTTATGGTTAAATGAGGTTTGACAAAACTGTGTTTCTCAAATAAACTAATTTGTTTTAGATCTCAATTTAAAACAGATTGATGCTGTTGGCTTTTTTGTTACTCATTCTGCTAACAGGAGTATAGCAGTATTTTATTCAAGGATATAATTCTAATAAAAGGAATCATATAATAATCAATTACTGCCCATCTGATCTGAATTTAACTTTTTTTCTGGACTGCACAGTTTCACATTTTTATGATCTGGGAATGGCAGCATCTCTCAGTCGTTCATGGAGAGAGAGGAATCTGAGCACAGACTGGATTCACATCGCAGAAATATGAATCCTCCACACTGATTACTGCACATGTAATTTCAAAATATGAATTGTTTCTTTAAACGAAACATGTGAACTCTGCTCATCACTTGTCTATCTACCATTATACAGTCACTCTCTCTTTATATACTTACTTACTGTTTTAAAAACTGTATAACTGTGTATGTATATTTATTACTTCTCATTACATGTGCTAAATGACTGCTTAAATTTAATTTGTTCATTTGCCATACTGTCTACACAAATTCATATTACTTTATTCAATTATTTATGTTTATATTTTAGCCCTACATTTAAACTTGTACTATTTTATGTCTAATTTTATGTCCATTTCGATTTTGCTTTTACTTGCATACTACATTCTTTTTTATAGATATTTAATGAGCATTGTCTTAGGGAGCCTCAGACCTTAGATTTTCATTGCCAACAACGACTGCTTCTCTGTAATTGTTGCGCAAATGATAACAATAAAGAACAGGCTATTTGGATAATTGTTAACAAAATAAGTGCCTCTTCAGTATTCAGATGATCATCATTTGTAGGGCCCATGTGATTTGATTTCTATTTATGTGTTTCGGCTTTAATGCTGTGATTGGTGGTTAAGCTGTCATCATGTGCACACTGAGGCAAATAAAGAGCCCCAGGAGAGAAGTCCCTCATCTTGAAGTCAATTGATTTTTTGAATTGGTTTTTGGTTACAGGTCTGAAGTAAGGTCTGTGGTTAACACCAACTTGATAGATTTTCACGTTTTGTTCTACAACATAAAATACATCAGTAAAGACCCCACCTGCTCATTTTGAAACTTTTATGTGTCTTTAATAAGGTGGTTGCTAACAAGTGGCTAAATGGGACTACAGAAGGTCATCACGCCATAAGTCATGCGACCATAGTGTAGTTCATTTATAGCCTAACATTAGTTTTTTACTTCTGGCAAATGCATTTAGGCTTCAAATATTGTAAAAGTGGTGTTCATTTGTGAAGATTATCTGGCTGAACAAAATGTATAAATATCAGAAACTTTTGTTTGCTACAGAGCTTCTTTTCTGCAGTAACTAAAAATCCAGTGAAAAACTCCCATAGGCTTTTTGATGAGGGAACAGAGCTATACTAACTTCTGCATCTGCCTACAGAACAATGTCATCCCTGGAGCAATCTATTCCTAATAGCTATGGTAATTAAAGGTCCCATATTATACTCATTATCAGGTTCATACTTGTATTTCGGCTTCTTACTAGCATATGTTTACATGCCTTAATGTTCAAAAACACTTTATTTTCTTCCTAATGTCTGTGCTGAAACACCTGTATTCACCCTCTGTCTAAAATGCTTTGTTTCAGCACCTGTCTCGTTAAGCCCCCCTCCCAAAAAAATCCTGTCTGCTCTGGTTGGCCAGCGTTCAGGTCTTCCATATCTGTGGTGTCTCTGCATTGTCGTTACAGCCAGGGAATAACTGTAACTGCAATGTAGAGGCAGTTTTTACCTTTACATGGTGTAGTTGTGACATCACAACTTTAAGGAAACCCTAACAGCTCGTTTGCAGGCACAGTTTCTGAATGCGGACTTTCTGCATTTCTCTGTAGAGTGAATGTTTTAATACTTTCACAGACTTATAGAGCACCTACAAATGCTTTATAGCAACAAAAAAAAAAAAAACACATGGAAGTCTGACTTTCCACCACATGGGACCTTTAAGTTTTGAATCTTTAATTTGTTGTACACATTTGAGCATAGCTAACAAACCTTCTGAACCACTCTTTAATGCCAAACAAACGCACCTGGTACATCATGTCTTTGAACTGCTGCTCTATCGGGCTTAGGTCCGCTGAAATGACCGGAAGCCTCTGCAGACACACGGCTGCCATCAAAGTCCACGGAGAAGCTGGTCTTTCCGTCACACACTGCGACTGTAAAGCCGCCCGACAAACAGACGTGCTGGAAAACTGACGAAATCTCGCGTTTCCGACCGCTGTCCGGCTAAAACAAGACAGAAACTGTAAGAGAGACCGACTCGCCATCGTTCTACATGGCGCAGCCATCTTTTTTTTTGTTACATTCACTGTCTGTACAAAAAAATCCTGACGCTGGCTACTACCCATTAAAATAGGCTGGAGGAGGAGTTTAAAACCACGTTACTCTCGCAGTGATAGCAAAATACAAGATGAAAAAAATATTAACGCCAGTGCACGATGTTTAATGTTCTCATTTGTTTTCTCTTGAGCAAGCGGCAGATTAATTGTTAGCTCTAGCGAGTGTTTACCATGATATTTGGATTTTTTACGACGGTTTATGTAGTACTTGAAGGTAGCATAAATTCTACGTCTACCCACAATCCTGTGCAGAAAAACGAACGGTCTATTCAGATAAAAGTGGGGGTGGATGATATTAATGTTTTTTTTTATTTTACACAACATATCTCATTGTGTGTAATACGAAAAGTAATATTGATATTTATTTAAAGATTTTTTGTGTTTGACACCAATTTTTTGGTGATGACTGTATTTATAATAGTAATAATAATGATATTGTGACTTTCCCACCCCTAAAAACATAAAGATATTAATGGTCTGCTCTGAGTTTACAGCAGCTTCAATGTCACGCTTGCCGTGGTTAAAGTAGTTGATGTATGATAGCGAAATAGTTTTAAAAGCGCATTAAACATGTATAAATTAAAATGTATGTTTGTTAGTTCTGTGGGTAACGCATGCCGACAGCTCGCCGCCTCCCTAACTACAAATAGTAGCTCTCTGTAAGTGTTTTTTACTAGCATCCCTCTTAGCTAACGGCTAGTTCTGACATGTATGCTAAGTGTTATGTAGCATGCCTTCAGTTGTACATAATGTTCAGCTGACACTTGTGATGCTCGTAGCATTTATGAAGATGTTGCTAATTAAGTTCTGTGTGCACAGGTGTGGCAACATTGGGTTGCAGCGCACATTGTGTACCAGTGTCGTCAGACTTCAGGAGACCGCAGCATCCACCACAGAATCTGAGAAAACCTCCACAGGCTTCAGGTCAGAGAACAACACACATGCACCTGTACACACTGTCTGTCTACTGACTGAATGATCCTGGACTAGTTTTAGTATTTACCTTTAAACTTATGTGTTTGTTCACTGAGTAGAAGCACAACTCACTGCAGTATAATAATGCTAATGAGATATTTACTTCGATCTAATCCTTTAGCCACTTGCCTCCACTGCCTGGCGAGGACAGTTCACTGAGATGGAGTGGGAGGAAGTTTGAGGAGTTACCAATCGCTCACATTAAAGCCACATATAATAAGTAAGTAGAAACTGCAAGAGTGACAACAAAACGGTGATTCACTAGATCAACTTGATCTTCAAATTGTAAAGTTAGGAAAGGTCACTGGATCCCAAATAGGACAAGTCGCAAAAATATAACAATAAAGACACAAGTGCAGCTACTAACATCATTTTACTGACTGCTGCATTACAATATTTGCTGAAGCAGAGCCATCCTTCAATTTTTTAGTCCCGCCTGTTTTCCTGCCATGAAAAGTCAAACCTTAATTATTTCTGTAAAGAAAAAAAACTCCATATTTTTGTGGTTTTCAAATTGGCATTTAATTTTGCCACCTTCAAATTTCTGCAAATCACAAGTTTAGCTTTGCAAGTGCCTCCTTATGGACTAAATGAATAACAAAATACTCTGCATACCTAGATGCTAATAAAGATCTAGTCAAAGACTCTTGGAAGATGGAAGATGTTCTAAAACTTAAGATAAGACCTATATTGGTGTTGAGCTTGTAAAAGGGAGCGGATTGTAGCTTTATCTGTTACTTCAAGTAGATAAGGACATGATTAGTCATGTAGAAAATGTATTTTGAAATTTAATAGTTCTTATCAAAATTACCCGGGTAAAAAATGGCTGTTGGTCTTGTAAAGTCTACTGGGTGTTGATTTGAATAGATCTGTCGAACAGGACTCCTGAACCAGAAGAAGCTGGTTTAAGTGAAGCAGACCCCTACAGAGTTGATGAATATTTTTTTAGCTATGTTATGTGATGCAGTCAAATCAGTAATGTGGGTAATGATAAAAAAAAAAGTAATTTAGATAGGGCTACACATTGGAGCTATGATATGTTTTTCGCAAGTAATATTGTTAGCGTAATACTCAACAACTTTATTGCATGTTGCATATTTTCCTCATATTGTACATATTTTTGACTTCAAAAACATCAGTTATGAGTCATTGACACAGTCAACTGTCCTGTCCTATACTAGCACACATATCCAGCTGACAGAGAGCACAGGACAGTCGTTGGTCAGGACGTCCTGTGGAACAGAAGGCTTCAAGAATATCAAGAAGTCGACGCCCATCGCTGCTCAGAGTGCAGGCATCTCTGCTGCTATGGTACGCTCTCACATGTTACTCTGATGATTGTAACTCACTGTGAGTGGTCAGGTTTAAGTGTGTTGGTCAGGAGCATGTGACTGTTGAGGGTTTGTTTTGTTTCATATTTGTTCCAGTCTGCTTTTTCTAACTGTGTAACATAATGTAGTTTATGAATATGAAATGTTTGATGCAAATAAGCTGCCCTCTCTGAGGACTGTCGGAGTGCAGCAGTTGGTGTTGAGTGCTCATTTGGACTTAATATTTGCCCTGATTACTGTTACAGTTACAATTTTTTATGAGGTGGGCAGATATGTGAGATTATTCTAACCTCTGATCTGCTGTTTTTGGATGTTGTAGAGCTAAAAATTGAAACCTGGTAACTACATCTTGTGGGAGTTTTATTTAATTTTGTTAGTGACTGAAAGCCAGGATGGACAATTACTAGTATCTCCAAAAAAAGAGAAAAGAAATCATGCTGGTCAACCTCAGTGTTCTTTTTCTATTGTACAGACAGTAAAGTAGAGCTGCTACCATTGATTATTTTTATTATCTTTTGACCTGCTAATTTTCTCAAATAACCAATCGATCATTCAGCCTGAAAAGTGTCAGACAATATGGATAAAATAGCAATCAAAGAGCCCAAGGTGTTATGTGTAAGAGTCTAAAAGTGAAATATATTCTATTCACATCACATTAGACAGTAAAGAAAAACAGCAAGTTTTCACAATTGCGAAGCTGTAACCAGGGCTCTTTTGACATTGATCAGCCAATTGGAGTGGATGTCTGTTCTAAACGTACAGTATAGGTGGCTGGTAAACCATGAAAAAAAGCCACGTTTTAGAATCGGTCTGTTACCGTCACCAACAGATAAAAGTTTTTGTATATGCATTCATGTAATGTAAGAATGTTTTGATGGGCTTGTTTTTTGGCATATATAAAGGGGAAGTCTTAATAGTAAACATGATGCAGTGAAGTTAATTTTCCCGCTCCATGCTGGAGGGGAAAATTAAACTTCTCTAGTTGCACTTGAATAGTGGAGTCAGATGGACGGCTGCAGATGAAGATGTCAATCTTCTGTGTCTCCTCTGAACAGAAAGCCAAAGCGAAGGGAGTGACATTCGTCCGTGTTGTGGTCAAAGGTCTTGGTCCTGGACGTCTGGTGAGTAGAAGAAGAAGAGATTGCTTCGATTGTGCATTATCACATTATGATCCCGTTCCACTGTGGAGCTGCAACTAATTATTGTTTTCATTGCTGATTCATCTGTTGATCTCTTCTCGATTAAACGATTTGTTTTTTGATCTATGAAATGTCAGAAAATCTCTCATAGCCCAAGATGAAATCCTCAAATGTCTTGTTTTGTGTAAAGAAACCAGAAAATATTCACAATTAAGACACCGGAATCAAAGAACACCAATTAATCAATAATAAAATTAGTTGGCTATTGATTTAATTGTTTACAACTAATCAATTGATCATTGCAGCTATATTATACTGTGTTTGTAGGTGCCGAATGAAGTCTTGAATTATTGCAAATGTTATCATTCAACATTTAGTAATCTTAAATGTTGTTGTTAAAAATTGATTATTTAATTGTTTAATCTATAAAATATCAGAAAATAGTGAAAAATGCACACTGCTATTTCCCAGTGTCCGAGGTGACGTCTATTTTGTTTTGTCCGAACAACAGTTTTTAATTATAACTGATATAAAACAGATTAAAGTAGCAAATCCTCACGGCTGAAAAGCTGGAACCAGCAAATCTTTATCATTTATGCTGAACGAACAACTTAAATAATTATTCAGTTGTCAGAATTATTTTCCATACATTTCTGGTTCTTTACAAAGCACTCAAACTCATTGATCAACTCAGCTTAAGATGCCCATATGTATTAATAACTACCTGTATGCACTTTTTTTTCCAAGGTTATTTAATAGCAATAAGTGGCCTCATAATTTAAAGATTCACACTGAAGCACATTAAAGTTTATAAAGCATAAAGAGGCATTTTAGGATCATAGGATAATTGGATGAAAGTGAAGCTACAGACTTGCTCTGTGTTGATCTTATAGCAGGAGCACAACTCGTATAAACCTGTCACTGCATGAAGACAGTCGACCTCTAATTAATTTGAGTCTTTTTATAATGAGGGTAATTTAAGGCTGTTTAAGGAGCCACAGACATCTCGATCTGTTCCCGTTAGCTTTGGGAATGAATGAATGTATTTCTCTCTGTTGTGCAGTCTGCCATCAAAGGCCTGACGATGGGAGGCCTGGAGGTGGTATCGATCACCGACAACACCCCCGTGCCGCACAATGGATGCCGCCCACGCAAAGCAAGAAGGACCTGATCTCCCCAACCCAGAATGCACTGCAAGGAGAGGAAGCGGTGTTGTGTTGTAAAATGCTAATAAAGTGTGTTGTTGTATAACTTCCCCGGCTCTACGCTGACCTTACATAATTCATTAGTGGAAGTAATTGCAGATGGTGTTATTAACGAGCAGAGTGCAGTTGTCTGAGTCCTCTGCTGAGACTGCTGACACGTGAGTAAACCTTCAGCCGCTCTGACATTGATTAGGAGACTGATGTGTGCAGAAACAGACTGATGGCCCTGTGTGGGGAGAGAGACAGCACAAGGTTTCACTGCATCAATGCTGTACTGGTCGCCATGGAGACCGAACCTATGAAGCGGGCTGGGTTAAAGCAGTACTACACCACTAAGCTCACAGGACCACACGACGTGTATCTGAAGTCAACACATAAAGCAAATTGAATTCTCTTAATATTTTATTTAAAGTACATTAGACAGCCAAACATCTTTAACATGGTATAAATACATGTTTGTAAAGCTCTGACGGAAACATACATACAGGTCAGTCCAGTACAAGAGGTGTTAATATGGAGACATTAACTGAGGGACAAACATGCACCAAACCATTCACCAAGGATGTGGAGTGTTACTGTGTAGTCATTACTACAGACTTTTCTTTACATGCTTTTCCAGACCTTCACCAACACTGCATTTTTACCGTTCACTATTTTTTTCCTGACAGAAACAGTTAACCCTCAAATAAAATATATATATATATCTATTTCCCCTTAAACCTGTAGTAACATTTATCAATCTAGAATGACAAATATCTCTACAGATAAGAGGGCAAAAACCTATTTTTGATGTTGGGATGAACTGTCCCTTTAAACTCTTTGGATGGTTTACATTACACTTGATGTGGAGCAGGAGTGCTCGCTGCACCAAGTACTGTAGTGTTTGTAGGGTTGGGGGTTTGTTTTACATTTGAAATACAAGAAAACTCAAATTCCAGATTCCCATAGAAAGCCTGTAAGCATATAAAGAAACAAAAAAAGACAACAGCAGGCTGCTTTTGTTTAGTGCAAATGGTCGGGGCCATTTCCCTTCATACACTCAAAAATGTAGTCTGACAGGTGAGAAACAGAAAAATGGCGACAGCTGATATGACCTAATAGGTCATGTGATCAGTGTCAACAGCAGTTTGTTTTTGCAGCGATGTGTTTCAGACACCTTCACACCAAAGCCAGAGGCGTCCTCACAGCTACTGGACATGAAGCTTTCAGTGAGGATACAGGGACTTGAGGGATGCCATTAATCATAAGCCCCTTCAGTTAAACTGTTATTATCAGTGGGACCTTATGTATACAACACTGACATGAGAAAACAGAAATGATAAGTGTAAAATGTGTACGACTCTTGAATAGATGAGGACGCAAAGGTTTACCACATAAAGTCATAGCAGAGTAACACTGTTGTTGGTACTACAGGACCAGGAGGGTCAGGTCACAGCACCACAGTAACTGTACTCTGACACAAAGACTCACAATGATTCACCGCACTCTCACATGTATTATGCTTCATTTAATATTTACAAACATAACACACACAATGAGAAATTAGCCCTTTGAAAGCAACATCTGACTCACTGTTGCAGCTGGTTTCTTCTTTCTGGATCCATCAGGACTTCATACGTCACACCAGAATCTAATGAGTATATCATACACTAACTCAACTTGTGTATTCATCCCTATGTAAGTGCATCATTTGTAGTGGAAAAGCCTGCGATGTTAGCAAAATAATAAAAAAAAATAAACTAGTAGGATTGAAACAAGTCTGAAGGTTTGGTGGGGCGTTTCATATTATTGTTTTGTCAACACAATGTCTGATCTTCTGCAACATCCAAACTTAAAGAGGAAGCCATTTTCTCCCCTTACAAAGGTACACAAAAGGTCAAAGATTTTCTATTCCAAGTAAGCCAATAGTTAAAGGACCAATTTGTACATTTCCATTTATATAAATTCAGGTATAGACAGAGTTGGAGATACACTGTCGATAAGCCTTTTGTGACTCAACTGACAGTTTACTTATCTGTCTACTCAAACACTGGGAGTTATTACAGTGGACTCCTTCTGTTTATAGTTTCCCTCACATTTTCGCATGTGCAGCCTTCCTCAAGCACATTTCTAAATGCTGGAAGTAACAAGTAAAACAATCTGCATCCAAATCTGAATATGACAGGATTATGAAGGAGCATCAGAAGCACCTGTACTGCGCAACAGGGCGGTTTCGCTCAAGCGTTCAGCTGGTCAGGCTAGCTTTCACTTTCCCAGCAGGGGAACACTGGTGCCTTTTGACAACGAGAAACACACAGTCCTCACACACTGATCAAACACTCAAGTGTCTATTTGCCCAGTATGATGTGACTGGCTGGATGAATTCAACTTTAAACTGATCTCAACATTGTTATTCACAACAACAGTGCTGGAGGGAAGCACGACCAGCTCCACGCTGATCTGTAGCCCTCCCTGACTTTTAACCTCTGAAGGGGGCAAGAGGTTAAAGGATCAAATGACTGAAAAGGTGAATATGAATGCACATGTCGGAAAACATCAAGCTGTGGCTGACAGATGACATTTACATGGACAGAATAGTTCTGAACAGTATTTGAAGTGACGCAAAATCAGGGGGACGTCTGCAAGAATGAAACAACCAACCAAAGCACAGATGCTTTATACAGCTGATATGACTTAAAGCTGATTGGCTAGATAAAATGTGCAGTACTGAAAATAGAGATTTTATACACACTAGCTATACAAAAATACACTGCATTATTTCACAAAGCAATGAGGTCCTTCCTTTTCACAAACATCAGAACTCTGGACCAGGCAAAAAAAAAAAAAAAAAAAATCAACAATGTAAGATGTCTGGAATACAGCTCCAGTCGCACACTTCCCTATACTACCCCCCCCCCATCTGTGGGTCACCGAACATCAGCCACACATTCAACTACACAAAAATGAAAACTTGACAATCAAAAAAGCAACGCTGCCTCAAAAAGGACCACATACATAAATAACAGGGTGGATTATATTATTATACTGTAAATACATTACCACAAGCTCAACACACAGCAGAATAACAGCGGAACAGCTCGATGATAATGACAAAATCAAGTGGGAAAAGATCATTTGAGGATGTTATAGAGCCTGGGAGCCTTTTCAACAGGACTAAAGGAGGAAAACAATGGTTTACTAATGATTACATCAGGCTTCATCACTCCTTCCCCTGACTGAGAAGGATACCTTTAGTAGTGAACAATATAAAGTATGTGAATTAGGCCACATCACTCACGCTTTACAGCAGCAACATTACAACTTGTAAAATGACGATAACGTCAAGTACTGCATCGACTGTGTAGGCATTTGCACATCAGCATTGAATGACATTTTTTTTCAGACTCTTCCAGACTGTGCAGTGTTGAACAGTTACAATGACTGGAGCGCTGCTGGAGGAGATTGTCGGTCTAAATCCCTTCTGGGTGGGTTAAAGTGAACGAAGTGAAAGAGTCCTCCAACACATATTGTTGATGTTGCCTTGACAAAGGCACTTAACCGCAGACTGTCCCCTGTAAACTGTGGACCTTGTTTGAGTGTGAAGCATGACTGAAAACAACTACAGGATCTGACGACACAGGCGTACTGTTGTTTTGCTGTATTTGATACAGCTCGAGCATTTGGTGCTTTTTAATTATTGCACTTTGAAAGAGGGAGATGCAGCGTGGGAGTTCAATATTAGAGAGACATGGAGTGATTGTGCATACAGCCCTCTGATTAGGAGCTAGAGAAGGGACGACAGGTTGGCACTTCCAGGTAAGTGCGGGAGTGGATTTGGTGAACTGAAGGAGTGTCACAGAAGCCTCTACCAAAGCAAAAGAGAGGCATTCTATTACTTCGCATCACTTCCCCTGGAGGTTGCTCAACTCCAAGTCTTCCTTGCGGCGTTTTTGTTGGGTGAAGAGGGAGCTGAAGGGGTAGAGTTTAGCTTTGGCTGGGTACCGCTGGCCAGCAATGTCCACCTCGTAGTCGCCACGGTTGATGAAGTCTGGGGTGATGGGAGTGGGAAGCCCCTCTGGGCCTGGCGGTGGAGATACGAAGCCGAGGCAGACGTGGCGCTCCAGAGTGTAGCTGTAGGCGCTGCTGGTGGTCGTCCCAGCTAACTCACCGTTACGGTAGATGGGCTCGCCCCACCACGGCCACAGGTCCAGCTCAGTGTCGTGGTCCTCTAGAACCAGCATGACGAATCGCCGAGACGCACCCTCCTGACGCTGCTGCATCAAGGCTTCACGACCAAGGAAATCAGTGTCCTGATGGAGGCACAGAGAGAAGACAGGCGAGAAAGGAGAAAATAGAAGAAATAGGTGAGGGAAAGAGGAATGTGGGAAATTAAGAAAAGTAGGAGTCAAACAGAGGAAAATGACAAAGTAGAGGAGAGAGGAAAGTAAAAGATGAGAAGAAGAGATAAAGGAAGGAGCACTGTTAGGTGTTATGGACATGGTCTGTAAACAATTAATCTAAAAACACTTCACAGTTCAGTTGGGAGCAACACGAAACAACTTTTCATTTCATAAACTTCTTTGATAAACTTCACATTTAAGACATTGCTTCTGCTGCTGACTGCTCATCTGAAAGCAATCTGTGAAACCAATTTTACACTGTGAGGTCCATTTGTTAATACTGTGCTGACATTATTGCAGTTTGCAGCAGACAACACACCTGATGTTCCACCATTTTCAAAATGACAAACTTTATCACTGCTGGTGTAAAGTACCACCTGTTGTGCCTGCAGGTGCAGCTTGGTGACAATTTTACTTCTACATCCCAGCAAAGACTATAACACAAATGTTTCAGGGTTTAGCAATGCAGATGGCATAGTACTATGCAATTATTTCCTCATCTTCAACCACTTTAAAGTAAAAAAAAAAAAAAAAAGAAAGAAAGAGTGAAGCATAAAATCTAAGTAAGAGCTTCAATTATAAATCAGGTTGGCAAATAGTGTAATAATGTAACAGACAGTATTATAAAAGTAGCATATTATTTAAATCTCTCTTAACTAAAATTACCTTGGTAACAGCAAGGACTTGCTCTTGACTAAAACACCATAATGCCAAAAAACAAGGCTTTTTTTAACTAAAAGCCAGACAGCAGCACTCATTCAGAATAAACACTGGCTGATTACCACACAGTTTGTTACACATACACAGATGAACTGGCAACTGACCGTGTCAAACTTAACCCTGAACTCTCGTCCACATTCCAGCGGGGTGGTGAAGGTGTCGAGGTCCTGACCCCAGAAGGCAAAGAATTTCTCTATGCGTAGGCTGCGCAGTGCGTAGTACCCTGCATTACGAACCCCGTACTTCTGACCCACTGACATCACCTCATTGTACACATGCAGAGCATACTGTGGAGAGCAGAAGGAAATACTGTCAGACCTGATGCACTGAACAGTACGTAGCACTTACTAGAACTTTACCACCGTACCAACCATCCTGTGGAATGGTGAATAGAAACATATTTTTTGTGTGTTAGCAGATGTGAGCAGGTCGCACCTCTATAGGTATGTAGAGCATAAAACCTGGTTCACCAGTGTGAGTCATACTCATCACTCTGATCCCGTTGGCATAGCCGACACTCATCTCCTGTAAACACACAGAACACACAAATGGTCAATTACTGTTCTTGTCAATGTGTGACAAATAATCAGATAGAAACAGTTACTTAAGCTTCTGTTAGCAACACTAACACAACCACAGGTGCAACATAAGGTACTGCAGCTGCAACAACTTCAGCTACTTCAACAATTACCACCCTTCCTACGGCTATCACCAATAGGCTATTGTTATTATTACTCTGGTAATGTTACTGAAACTACCCTGTGTTTCTTACCTTACAGAACATGGAGGGGAAGTGATCAGGTGTCATAGAAACATATGACAACTCAGCCAGAACATCCATTGCCCGAGGTCCAATCAGATTTAAAGCTGTGGGTAAAGAACCAGAGTTATGACTCTGTTCAGGTACATTCCTCCTGCAGGTTTCCTGACTCAGTTCTCAATTAATTAATCTGTTCAACGCATAACTGCATGTGTGTTCACTAGTAATGATAGCTGGGTATTGTTAAAAAAAACACAGCATGCCAGTGACTGACCATAAGCAAAACCAAGACCTACAAGTCCTTTTTGACTGGAGTTTCAACACTACTTTGTGCTGGGTTATTTCGGTCAATATCCGAAAGGTATCAAGTACGGATACCCTGCCCTACTAGCTATCCTGCTTGAAAATGGCAAGAGTTGTTGAGGAGTAGAGTCTAAAATACACAGAGAGGACAGTGTTTCATGAGTGTTTTATCATTTTTTTCAAAATCTGAGCTGGCTGTTTTTTTTACTTTGGAGGAAATGAATATCATATTATCATATTTACATGAAAAGATGTTTATCAGTAGTGCAGGGACATACTGTACAAGGTACATTCTGGGATAGAGATCCTCAGTTGGTGATTTTATTTTGCATAGTAAAAATGGAATGTGGGCCTAGTGTTTCTCACATTTCAGACAGCTATGGTAATTAAATTATCAATATAAAAATTAAACTCTGGACATGTAATTAACTACCTTCTTGGTCCCTCTAGTGATTTTGCAAATGCCAAACCCTAAATCAGGCCACTGAAATAACTGGGTTAAGAGAAGAGTACTGTTGCATTGCTTTCACGCTTTACTATTGAGTGGGCACTAGATGGCGCCATCACTTCAGGACTTAATGTGTGTTTAATGTGTGTTTAATGTTTGTTTTTAATCCACTAAACTTTACAGCACTTGACAGCTGTATATTTTCAAACAGGAATAAAATCCCTGTCTTTGTATTTTATTTTGATCTCAGTCTGTTTTTATAAAAGTGCTTGTGACACCTCAAATGTGGCTTTGACTTGTTACTGAAAACAAAACAAACAGTTTTTTCTCCACATCGCCCTGGTTTCTATTTGCTTTCTGCTAGTTTTCGGCACCTATGCTCTGTCTGCTTGCCTACCTGGTTCTGAATCCATTGCCTTGTCCTGGTTTCCCTGCTGCTCATCCCTCATCAGTTCCTCTGCCTCATACACCTGCTCGTCTGGTTCTGAACCATCTGCCTCTTCAATCACGTCCCTTGCCTGCCCCTTTCAGGTACCGTCACCCCCCCCCTACAGTTTGAAATGTGTTGGTCTGTGGGCTCATGGCCCCGTTTCTGGGTTCAGACTGGTTCAACACTCGAGCCTAAAACCCAGAGACTGTGAGTGGGCTTCCACCCTGATGAACAAACTGTTAACTGAGTTAGTTCCCTCGCTATCGGATCATTATTTGATTACTTTTGATTTCTTTTTACTCGATTACACGCCACTCAGCAACAGTTACTATACTAGATGTTTATCAGATAGTGCTGTCGCAAAATTTAAGGAAATGATTACTCCGTCGTTAAATTCAATACCATGTCCTTCAGTAACAGAGGTTTCCCGTACCGACTTTAACCTCTCCCGAATTGATCATCTTGTCGATAGCACCATAGGCTCACTGCAAACAACACTCGACTGTAGCTCCTCTTAAAAAGAAGTTAACAAAGCAAAGAATGTTCACTCCTTGGTATAACTCTCAAACCCATAAGTTAAAACAAATATCGCGAAAATTTGAAAGGAATTGGCGATTAACCAAACTGGAAGAATCTCATTTAATCTGGGCAGACAGTCTCAAAATGTATAAGAGGGGCCTCCGCAATGCCAGAGCAAACTATTACTCAGCATTAATAGAAGAAAACAAGAACAACCCCAGGTTCTTTTCAGCACTGTAGCCAGGCTGACTGAGAGTCAGAGCTCTATTGAGCCTTGTATTCCTTTAGCCCTTAGCAGTAATGATTTTATGAGCTTTTTTAATGACAAAATTCTAACTATTAGAGGCAAAATTCATGACCTCTTGTCCTCAGATAGTACCTATCTAACCTCAAACACGGCTGTAAGACCTAATATATATTTAGATTGCTTCTCCCCAATTTCTCTTCAAGAATTGACAGCAGTGATTTCTTCATCTAAATCATCAACGTGTCTCTTAGACCCCATCCCAACTAGGCTACTTAAGGAGGTCTTTCCTTTAGTTAACACTCATATATTAGATATGATCAATATATCCTTATTAACAGGCTATGTACCACAGTCTTTTAA